TGGTCTCTCCCTTGACATGTGGGGATTATAGGGATTACAACTCAAGATGAGATTCTGCATGGGGACACAGCCGAACCATATCACCAGCCAAATGTGATGGTAGAGCAAGTTTGGTGAGGCACAGCCTGCTATGACAGTAAAATGCACAAAGGACAAGAGTGACCCTCTCATTGTCCAGTCTGTGGCCACTTTCAGCTCCTGCCTTACTTAGGACACCCTTTTTTTGAGACAAAGTATCATTCTGTTGCCCAGGCTAGAGTGCAGTGGCACAATCACAGCTCACTGTAGCCTCAAATTCCTGGGCTCAAGTGATTCTCTTGCCTTAGCCTGCTGAGTAGCTAAGACTACAGGAGTACACCACCAAATCTGGCTGATTTTCTAATTTTTTTGTAGAGATGGAGTCTCATTTTATTGCCCAGGCTGGTCTCAAACTCCTGGCCTCAAGTGATCTTTCCACCTAGGTCTCCCAAAGTACTAAGATTATAGGTGTGAGCCGTAGCATCTAGCTAAGAAATGATGCTCTTGACCCTGTTCTCATCTTGATTCTCTCCCCTCTCTTGACCCCTATGATGACACTCTGTTCTCCTGCTCCCCCTCTGTATTCCAATCGTAGCCTTTGCCTCTTCTCCCTGGCACTCTCCTGCTGAGGCTCCTTCAGGCACTGGCCTCCACCTCCTGGGTGAAATCCAGGTTCCTTTGGACAGCAGACAAGGGCCTCTGCCATTTGGCTTATCCACATGATTTACCCTCCTTCTCCACTGGCTATATCCTCTCTCATCTCTGTGACTTTGTGCATTTCTTTACTCTGCTTGGAATGCCCTTTGTCCCTCTCTGCCACCTCACTGGGAGAACTCCTATTCAACTTTAGTGATCAGCTCAGGTGTTGCCTCATCCCCTAATAATAATAGTAATAATAATAATAATGCCTCATCTGAATTTCCAAAACACCCTGAGAGTGTCTTGGTCTTAGCACTTATCACATTAAATAGAAATGATCTATTTACCTGTGTGTGCTCCACTAGTCTGTCAGCCACGCTCAATGCCTGGCACAGCTTGGCATGCAATTAAATGCTCAATCCATGTTTACTCATTGAATGAATGAGTCAATGTTCAGTTGTCCTTCAGTATAGGTAGGGGATTGGTTCCAGGACCCCCCACTGACACCAAAATCACAGATGCTTGAGTTCTTTATATAAGATGGGTAGTATTTGCATATAACCTATGTAATCTTCCTGTATACTTTATATCATTTCCAGATTACTTATAATACCTAATACAATGTAAATGCTAGGAAAATAGTTATTATACTGCATTGTTTAGGGAACAGTGACAAGAAGAAAAATCTGTACACGTTCAGTACAGAACGAAACTATCCATGTTTTCTTCCAAATATTTTCAACCCATTTGTGGTTGAATCCACAAACGTGGAACCCACAGACACAGAGGAACAACTGTATTTTGTTATTGTTCCCAGCGTGGCTACTCCTGGGCAATGAATGTGATCAGTCTTCTCAGAGCATTTTTATGTGGTAGATATATTTTCTTATTGTGATTAAAACACATGTAATGCAAAATTTACCATTGTAATCATTTTAAAATATAAATCCAGTGACATTTAGTACCTTCAGAATGTTGTGCAACCACCACCACTTTCTATGTCCAGGACATTTTTATCCCTATACCCATTAAGCAGTCATGCTCCATTCCTCCATCCCCTGGCAATTACTGATCTGCTTTCTGTCCCTATAGATTTGCCTATTCCAGATTTTTCATATAAATGGAGTCATATATGTGACCTGTAGTGTATGGTTTCTTTCACTTAGCATAATGTTTTCAAGGTTTATCCGTGTTTTAGCATGTCTCAGTACTCTTTCTTCTATTTATTTATTTATATATATATATTTGAGATAGAGTCTCCCTCTGTCACCCAGGCTGGAGTGCAGTGGTTTGATCTCAGCTCACTGCAACCTCCGCCTCCTGGGCTCAAGCCATCTTGCCTCAGCCTCCCCAGTAGCTGGGACTACAGGCATGCACCACCATGCCCAGCTGATTTTTGTGTTTTTAGCAGAGACAGGGTTTTGCCATGTTGACCAGGCTGGTTTTGAACTCTAGGCCTCAAGTGATCTGCCCACTTCGACTTCCCAAAGTGCTGGGATTACAGGCATGAGCCACCACACCTGGCCTATTTACTTTTGCCCACGATCACTAGACACTGTTTTACTTTTTCTCTCTTTATTATTTTTTGTGATCAAGCACTTCTTTTTATGACTAAATAATATTCCATTGGATGGCTCTACCACATTTTGTTTATTCGTTCATCAACTGATGGACATTTAATTTGTTTCCACTTTTTGGCTGTTAAATAGTGTTGCTATCAACACTTGTGTACAAGTGTCCATTTAAACACCTATTTTCAATTCTTTTGGGTATATACCCAGGAGTAGAATTGTTGGGTCATATGGTAGTTCTATATTTAATTTATCAAGGAACTGCCAAACTGTTTTCTACAGTGGCTGCACCATTTTACACTTATATTACCATATACATTACATAAGGGTTTCAACCTCTCTACATTCTTGCTAACATTTGTCATCTTCTTTTTTCTTTTTTTTTTTTTTTTTAGTATAACCACCCTAGTCAGTATGAGTGGTAGATATATTTGAGGCATATGCTTAGTTTAAATGACTCCTCTCTGTAAGTGCCTTACTACCATCTGTAGAAGGTGGCTCCCACAGTTATTTACACACAATGTGACGCTGACCTCTGGTCATAGTTGACTGGATCATGGATGGATTCCTGAGCCAATTTGGGTCAAATATTTTTTTCCACGGGAGTCTGTATTTGAGTAGGGGTGTGGGGGATAGACCTGGTTCGTATGGCTAAAATATGAACTTGGGAGCTGTGGGTAAGCATCTTTGCTCCCTCAGGGGAACAGATCAGCAGAGGGAACTCCTCAGGAAAAAGACAAACACAAATACTCAAGAGAGAAAAGGAAATGAAAGATGGACAGAGTACATATCCCCCTGAGTTCTGACAGTTTGCAAATTCCCAGTTCTAGTCCTTTCTTAAGCCTGACTGCATTCTTGTTTTAGGGCCTATAACTTGCCCTTTTACCCTGTTGTGGCTAAGTCAATGCCAGGGAATTTCTGTTTCTTGAAAATAATAAAACCCAGGGCAACAACTCATTGCTACTCACAACCTACTTAAGAAGGCCCGGAAACTGTTGGTCAAAGCACAAGAACTATAAGGATGCTTTCATTTTTTGGCTCTAAAAATTATTTCTTGTGACCTCACCGGCCTTGCCTCTGCCCACCAACCCAGTGTAATTTGGAGGCAAATTCAGTGTTTTAATATCATCCAATATTCATGAGGCATCCTCAAGGGCAGGGTGGTCAGCACTTTGCCACCACCTTGATGTGTCTCTTGGCATCTGTTCTAGATTTTTTTCCCCTAATAGCAGAACTCTTTCATTTGGCTCACCAAGTGTCATGTTTTCTTGTTTCAGTTATCACTGTAAATTTTCCCACTCTTACAGAGCTCTTCAAGGGCAGGAAGGCAACACAGTTTAGAGGAAGGACATTAAACTGGAATTTCTGAAGGACCAAATTCTGCTCCTGTTCCTGCCACTAGCTTTGCTCTGTAATGCTGAGTAAATCATGAGACTCTATCTGTTTTCCCATCTGTGGAAGTGGGAGAGAAAAATAATACTTTCTCTGCCTACTTCACAGAGATGCAAGTTAAAATTAGGTCATGGATATGAACATTCTATGAAGCAAAAATATATAAATTGCTTTATCCATAATGGCAACGAACTCCTTTGTTTTCTATCCCACTCCCAGACATCAAGTTCAAGGGCCTCACTCAAAAATTACTTGAATTTAACTCTAGTTGATTAAAAAAAAGGGGGGGGGACCCTGTCTCTTCATCCATTTTTCTTGAACACTGATGAACACTTTTTTAAATTACAAAAAAAGAAAACAAGAGACACAGATCCTGTTCTGTTCTAAGGCAAGTGAATTTCGTGCCATTTCTTTTTCTTTCTTTTTTTTTTTTTTGAGACAGAGTCTTGCTCTATCACTCAGGCAAGAGTGCAGTGGTGCAATCTTGGCTCAACGCAGCCTCCACTTCCCAGGTTCAAGAGATTCTCCTGCCTCAGCCTCTTGAGTGGCTGGGATTACAGGTATGCACCACCACACCTGGCTAATTTTTTAATTTTTAGTAAAGACGGGGTTTGGCCATGTTGGCCAAGCTGGTCTCAAACTCCTGGGCTCAATCCATCTGCCCACCTCGGCCTCCCAAAGTGCTGAGATCACAGGCATGAGCCATCGTGCCGGGCCTGTTGCCATTTCTTAATGACTGTATGTATTTCCCTGTAACCTCACATGCTATTTCCTAACACGTCTCCATCATGCATATTTCTCATTAACAGTGGTTTGCAAATTTGTCTGCACAGTGAGGAGCTTAGAAAATTCTGATGCCTGTGTCCCACCCCTGGAGATTGTGATGTAATTGGTCTGGGCCATGGCCTTTGGAAGTTTTAAAAGCTCCCTAACTGGTTCAAATGTATAGCCAAGTTTGGGAGTCACTGTCTTTAGAGTTCCTCTCCTTGTTAACAGATCTGATTCTCATCATCTTTGGGTTAATTCCCAACTAGGCTCTCACCTGAAGCATTTCCCTTTTAAATTGCTGTAAGGAAACAACAGAGGAGATTAATCCTAAATTCATCTTTTCTTCCTACTGCGATTGCCTTGGTCTTCATCACTTTAATTGAAATCCCTTTTGATAAATGCAATGAAGCCATTAATGGAGGCTTCGCTTATTTGCATGCACATTTCCTGTTCTTCTGTGTCTTCCCACCAACAACTTAGTTATGATTTGCATACCTCTTTTTTTTTTTTTCTTTTCCAATTCAAATGGCCTCTCGCTGTACCTGAGTGGCTGGCTAGGTCTAATTGCTATCTTCATTTCTGTTTGGGCAAAATTTTCCTTTCTTCACTTAGGTCACCTCCACCTTCAGGATCTGGCCAGCCAGGTCAGCCAGCTTGTCCCAAGGGTTGCTTGGGCTACACCTTACACTGAGACATCTCACAATTTGGAGCTAGACTTGGTAAAGCCATTCTGCTCTTCTGTTGTTTATCCATTCCTGGCTGACTGGGGCCAGAGGAAATCTGCTGTTGATGTGGTAATATAAGTGAACCCTCTTAGAGGTCCATGGATGACGTGGTTGACCCCACATTGGCTTCAGTCAGGAGCCAGGGCAGATTCAAACCTGAGCACGCATTCCTTTGGGTCTTTTGAGCCACCCCCTGCCCTAGGGGATTGTGTGAGCTTCATCTCAACATGGGTCTGAATTCCTAAGTAAAAACTGGGACTGCTGTTTCACCCAGACCATCCTCCCTACACGCAATGTGTCACTGTCTATCATCTGCCTTGGCCCTCCAGGTTTATAACACTATCTGATTTCCAGGGACTGGAAAGGGGGTGGGAATGATAGAAGAATAGAGGCTTTCAGTTCAACAAACATTACTGAGTCCTGGGCTGTTTCAGGCCATATGGTGCCATGGCCCCATGACAGTCCTCATTCCCTCTCCTCTCCTCTCTTTGTCATTCACTCCCTCCCCTATTGGCTAGAGCCAGAGCACCAATCACAACCAAGGGTGAGAGTTCCAACTCACCTGTGCTATCAACAAAGGGCCAAAAATCATTCCCCCTCTCTCTCTTTTTAAGAACTTCTTAATTCTTTTAGTTGTTTAAGCTATTTTATTCTCTCTCTCTTTCCCTGAAGAAAGCAATTTTTATGTTAAAATATATTTTGAGGTATTTCAAAGAAATTTACCATTACCTTCTTTAAATTTTTATTTTTTATTTTGGTGGATACACAGTAGATGTATGTATTTACAGGGTACATGAGATACTTTGATACAGGCATGCAATATGTAATAATCACATCAGGGTAAGCAGGGTATCCAACCCCTCAAGCATTTATCCTTGGTGTTACAGACAATCCGATTATAATCTTTTGGTGATTTTAAAATGTACAATTAAATTATTTTTGACTGTAGTCAACCTGTTGTGCTAGCAAACAGTAGGTCTTTATTCATTCTTTCTATTTTGTACCCATTAATCATCTCCACTTACCCCTGACCCCCAACTACCCCTCCCAGCCTCTGGTAACCATGCTTCTGCTCTCTACCTCCATGAGTTCAATTATTTTAGTTTGTAGCTCCCATAAATATGTGAGAACATATGAAGTTTGTCTTTCTGTGCCTGACCATTACTTTAAATGACTGGAACATACTAGCATTTTCCCACTTTACTTTTGCTTTAGGGGCCCAGGATAAATCCACAAAGGCATATGATGCCTGAGGCCACAGATTGAGTCCAACAAAGGTCTCTTATCTTATGTATTATTAATGCCGTATCATGATGAATAATAACTGAACCTATTGAGAACTCTTACTACATGCTGGACACTATGCTAAGCCCTTTTCATAATTAATTTTAGTGACTCCTTGCCCTACCTTATGAGGGGGGTATTATTTATTATCTCCATTTTACATAGGAGGAACTGAAGCCTAGGGAATTGAAAGCTTACTCCTCTAGTAAATGGAAGGGCTAGAACTCAGACCTAATCTGACTACTGAAAAGTCTTAATCTCTACAGTTTTCTGAGATGATCTCCTTTTAGGAAAATGTTGTCTTTCAATGTCAATAGCAAAGGTTTCTCTGATTTTGAAAAGTGAGGCCTGTATAATTATTGGGTTATAAATATAAGGGATCAAGAGTTTCATGTACTTAATAGTCACTTGAAAAATAATTATCTATGGGTTGATTGACAAGCAGCATTTTGTGCATTCAGATTCTGGATAGGGTTCTAGATATTAGGAAATGATGGAGGGGAAGCCAATTTAGCTTCCTGGGGGTTCATACAGAGGCCCTTTTCAGCCACACCTGTGCCCTGTTGTTGCACATTCCAAACCTACTCTAAAAGGCTTCCTTATTTCACAGAGATCTAATATAAAAGTGATAGAGCTGACTGACAAGGCTGAGGAAGGCTTTTGAAGGAAAAGATAGCAATTTCAGAAAATGAATCCTGCGGTTTAGAAAGAAATCAGCCGAACTTATGATCTGAGCTCATTTTGTTCTGTTCTATTAAAGAAAAAGAAAAAGAGGAAGAAGAGAAAAAAATTGCTCTATCACAAAGAAAACAATTTCCTTAAACCTGGTGAATTACAGTCTATCTATGGAGCCTGCATCCCACTGAGATACCTAGACTTTCAGAGCCAAAAAGGGACATTTAAAGAAAGCTTTTTCATCTGAGTCCTGAATTTCACAAAAAGGAAACTGAGGCTCCAAAAGAGTCTGGAACCACACCACTAGTTAATGGAAACTCTCAGTTTTCCTCCCTTTTTTATCTTACCCCTTCTTCTTACTTTTGCTTTTTGAATGACAGGGTATTCACAGGCCACTGAAAGAAAAAATAAGATAATTTCTGGTTCTTCAAGAAAGGTCAGTGAGAGCTCTAAAACCTCTAGAAAGAAGAGAGTCAAATTATTTAATCTAATTTCAGGAAACACCTTGATTTTATTAGCTGAGGGACTGAGTAAGGAGGCAAATCAAGATTTATTACTGCTTTCCATGAAAAAAGAGGAAAATGAATATTGGCTTAATGAGGGTTTGGGTCTGTAATTTAATTCCTCACCTCTAGAGAAACAACCCACAGAAAAAAGTTTAATAGATCCTATCAGTGATCTCTTGAGCTAGTAAGGAAAGGAGTCATCTGTCATTTCTCCAGGGAACTCTGGGTTCAAAGTTGCTTCTGTGGTATGGAAGTCTAGAAAAGAAGCAATCCATTGGAATCTCATTGGTCCAGAAAGCATGCCAAAAAAAGTGTTGTTGCTTCACCAGACCAGGTAACTAAACTTACAGGAAAAATTCCTAACAAAGACTTAGCCAGTGATAGTAATATTAATTCCAGGGGAAGAGTTTGGAGGTGAGATGGAGACAAAGAAGGAAGGCAGAGTTGTATCAATTCATTAAGTATTTATTGAGTGCCAACTATGTAGTAGACACCAAGAGATAAATAAAACCAGCTCTGTCCCTGGAAATGCTTGCAGATGAGTAGGAACTAGCAACCATGAAGGACCTTGTTCCCAGGATCCGGACACCAATATGCAAAACCATCCAACATCCCCAGCAGCTCATTTCCATTCTTAGACTCTTGTTCTGTTACATTTATTGGACAGTGCAGCTCACTCCTGTGGGCTACAAAACTCCCCAACTAATTAGCAGTGCACAGATGTTAACCTAGCACAGATGTTAACCTAGCAGCTGGGTGCTATACAAGGCACACATATCCAGCCAAAGTCTGAGGATGTTTAAAAGAAAAAAGAGAAATTCAGAGTCAACTGAGCATCCAGTTCTCTTCCCCAGATGTCATCAGTGCAAACAGGAAGCAGGGCTTGCCCCAGCCATGATCAGAAATTCAGCTCTTGAAGGCTGCTTCACTCTATCAAGACTTCAGCTGTTGAGGAAAGGGACTACTTACTTGTGTTAAAAAAAAAAAAAAAAATTATCCATCATGGGATCTAATCCAGGCCAGTGCCAGTTGGATCGATCAACCTTTTAAAAATCTTTTTAGGATAAATATACAGCTATAGTCATGAATTAAAGATGTGAGGGAGAGAAAAATAGTACATAGCTTACAGTGGTTAACACTGGGTTTAAAACCAAAGTGTGATGCTGCATTAATCTTCTGGTTGAGGCCTAATAGGAATTGAGTAAATTTGTTTTAACCATTTCTATTCTGACAAACATTAAAGATTCTTGAGTTTTGTGGAAGACAAGAAGGAGAATGACTTAGGTGGGGATAGGAGAGGTAGGTGTGGCTAACTTTAAAAAAAAAAACACAGAATTTTCTACCAAAGCTGTATATCTGATTGTTGAATATTAAATAATATTATTATTACAATATTAATATTGCTGGCCAATTTTATTCATCCTCTTACAGGTATATTTCCAAGTCATGAGTTCTTGTGTACATATAAGTGTAGAAGAGACAAACAGTGATACTCATAGCAATTAGGGTAGCTCTGTGATTCCCTAAGTGAATTACTCACTATTCTTCTGTATTTTTATAGGTAGAGTTATGCCAAAGACTTCAGGAACAGATTGGGAAGCAGGGCCAGCTTCATGGGCCTGTGACCAATGTAGTCACACAGGGCTCCACACTAAAAAGGGGTCCACAGAGGGCAATAGTGGAACACAGGCTAACCCCCACTGATGCAACACTTGGCATTTAGTGCTCTGCATTGCTATCTTCAAATTCTTAGTAATTTTATCTTTGAGTTTGTGTTCAGTAAGTGAAGCTCAATGGAACAATGAAGCATGTGCCTGGAGACTTGAAACCTTGACAATCCTGCCATCCTGGTTTCCTAGGACTTCTCATCTCCCCAGGATGGGTTACTGAGAGTCTGCCCTCTGTTTCCTGACGTATCAGGCCGCACCCAGCCACCCCTTCCCCACTGGCCTCCCCTTCCCTACCCTAGCCCTGTGATTGCTGTCACTCTCCACCTGGGGTAACAGCCAGGTTGCATTGGTGGGGGGTGCCTGTGTTCCACTGTTGTCCTCTACTCCTGGCAGGGGCCTGGGCACAGGCACGGGGAAGGTTGGGTATGCACCCTCTGACATGTCGGGGTAGAGCAAGTTAGCAGCGGTCCCTGTCCTGGACTGGCAGTGCCACAGTGTATTTGGCTGGTGACTTGACGGAGCCCTCCCACCCATCCCTTATTCAAGTACCTGCGGCATCCTGGCATGGAAGCTATAGACTCTTGAGGAATCATCTATTGACCCTGGGTTGGGACAGTGGGCCTATGGGAAGGAGGAGATTGAGTTTCTCGCCCCAGCTAGGGCCTTAAATTTTCATTTTGCAATGGACCCTCTTGGCAAGTGGTCAATTTCAAAGATTAGGGATGAGGCAGGGTGGAGAAAAGCCTACTACTTGATTAATACAATTTTTGTATGACATCTAGCTTGGTACCTAAGCTATTGGTAAACACATTAGAAGAATGGAAAATAAGTTCTTGCCCTTGAGGGGCTTATAATCTAGTTGAAAATAGATGAAATCAAAATAGATGAAACAATGAGACTTCACAAAGGAGGCAGAATGGAAGAGGGGTCTTGAAAGTAGGATTTAGTTGTGGAGGGAAGGGGGAAAAAGAGACCTGGTTAATGCACTGCAAAATATAGGGCTAGGCTGACTTGATGATCGTGGTATATGTTTTGGTTCAAGGCCAATTACAGCATGCTAGAGGGGAGGGTGATCCTGGTAGGAGGGGAAGCTGTAGGAACAGGCATGGTGGATGTGAACCACTGAGGACAGTGACTTGGCAGAATAAAGAGTGTGGGCCTAAGGTGGGCGATAGGCTGCATGGAGCCAAATCACAGATGGCAGAGAAAAGAAAAAGGGTTCAGAGCCTCCCAGCTATGTACACTGAGGTACGGCAGGCTGCTACTGTACAACACAGCAGGCCACTCAAAGCTCTCCTTCTGAGACCAGCAAAGAAGGAACGAAAGGAATTGACCCTGTGCTTAAGCAAACCATGGAGTGAAGTGAAGTTTCACAGTGAGCTCAATGATGAGGGGGAAAAGCAAATATTCTCTGGTGAAGGTTGACTTAATTAACCATTTTAATAATTCATGAGTCTTTAAAATGTTTGCCAGAAGATTCAGAGCTCAGATTCTGCTTCTGGCATTGAACTCAGGGTTTTCTCTATCGCAAATTGTGCTGGCTCATGCAACAATGGCAGCAGCATGCCTGGGAATGTGAGGCCCTTGCTCGGATAAACTGTGGACAGCTTTTATCCCTTGGGACTTCAAACCCTTCTGAGAATCTGATGAAACTACTGAACCTTTATCCTAGGAAAAATACATGCATGTACAAATTCAGGGCTTTGGAGACTCCCCTGAGGTTTGCCTTTGAACCCTAGCCTAAGAATCTCTGATTTAGGACCACCTCTAAGGGCTCTAACATTCTATGATTCTTTTTTAACCTACCCACAAGCCAGCCTTTCAAGATGTCACCTGAAAATGCAGTGACTTTTTGGGCTTGCAGGCAAGCAGCCTCATGTAGATGTTTGCAAAGTGAGAAATGCATAATGCAATATTTGTTCATTAGGCTGAAGCAATGTTAATGCAGAAAAGAGAACTGAATGAATCAAAAGCCATGAGTCAGCTGCCTCCTTAGCAGGTGGCGGGGAGGGAGGCAGCCTGCTGAAGCTGAGAGGGTGGGCTCTAGAGTCAGACAGCCTGGGGCCCTCAAACCCCAGACAAGGTACTTTCTGGCTGTGGCTTGGGGGAGCAATTCAAGCTCTCTTAGTCTCGGTTTCCTCATTTGTAAAACAGAGCTAATAAGATGTACTCTATACCCTATGTTTTGAGGATGAACTAAGCCGAACTGTAAATCCTTATGCATAGTGCCTAGGCTACAGTAGTGCTCAGTAAAGGTATTTAACTCTCTTAATCTCACCCAGAAGGAGGAGGGGTGCTGTGAATTTGGGGACACTGTGTTGATTTAATGTTGGGGGAGGAAACAGACTCAGGAGTGGCTTGGCACTCTCTCAGAACTCCTGGATATATAGCCTCTCCCCTTCCCTCATTCCCCCAAAAGCTTCCCCTCCCGGAATGTGGGCCGGCTCAGGAAGCTAAAGAAGCACCCCTTGTTAACAGCCTTGGTCTTCTCCCCTCCTCAGCTGCTCAGGAGTGTGGAGGCTGCAGGAAACAATGGCAGGAGATCTGGGCTTTTTCTGGCTGCAGGCCTGACTGCAGCAGAGAAGGCAACAGAGAAGGAAAGAGAGAGGAAGAAAGAGTGAGAGAGAGACTGGCTTCTCCTCCATTTCTCAAGCAAGAAGGCTTGCCAGCACCGCCCACCATGGAGCTGCGGCTGGTCCTGGGGCGAATGCAGAGCTGAGCAGCATACAGCTCCTGTTCTCATAGACCTGGCAACTCTGACATGGAAGTAAGGCTTGCCCAAGGGCTGCACTGCTGGATGCATCCAGACCCTTCGATAAGGGGTCTGGGAGGGGAGGGGGCAGACAGTGAGGGCAGGATGGTAGAAAATGTGTTGACTCAGTGCCAGGCCCTGAGCTAGACACTTGACATGCACTAACTCTCATTCTCACAGCAACGCTCCAAGATAAATGCTATTATCCTGCATGGTACAAGCGAGGAAACCGAAGCTCAGAGAGGCCAAGTGACTCCCTCAAAGACAACAGCTATTAAGTGGTGCCATAGGATTTAAACCAGGTCTGCCTGTCTATGAAATACTTTTTTCCCCATTCCCCATACAAGCTTAGCTAGGTGAAAACAGGGAGCCTCCATAGTCCTAAAACTCTGGGTCCTGTGAAGCCATTACCCAGTCACATGCAACGCTATGCAGAGTCCTGGCTCAGTAAATATTTGCCCCATGAATGGGAAGGAGAGAATGTGCCTTTCTTGGTTCTAGGCAGCTCTTGGCAGTTCACGTGCACTGTTTACCTTTCCTCCCACATTCCCCCGAGAGGAATCATCATCCCTCCCTTCCCTCGACTGAAAACAAGGCAGAGTGGAATGACCTGAAGTGCCTGGCTTAAATAGAGCCTATCTCAGTCCTGCCCCACATGGCCACAGGTCTCCTTTCAAACAGCAACCTCCGTCAGAGAATCCCAGTTAAGAAAAATATCTCACATCGTTTAATAAGGCAGACTTGGGAGGAGTAAATGTTTTAAGGCCTTTGCAGTCCCGGTGTTGAGAAAGATTGTGTGTGTTCAGGCTCCTACAAGGGAAAGCATTTTGGATTTCCTGGGAAAGCTGGCATCCCAGAGGCTGAGAGTGGATCGGGGGAGGAAGGTCTGCAGCAGGCAGCAGCAGGGAGGTTTCAGCCCAGCTTGGGCCTCTGCCGAGGAGAAACCCTGCTGTCCTAGGGAATTTGCTGAGCAGAGTCTCTTGGCCTGATTTGTAGCTAGTGATGCGAATGCATTATCCAAAGCTGGGTGCCAAGCAGAGAGCAGAATGAGACCACCTCTCCATTCATTTCCAGCCATTGATTAGATGATGTTGATGAACTGTGATTTTTAAATGGAAACGGCTTTGTCATCATGATTTTTCAATACAATTCTAGCATGGCTCTTTATTTTCTAACCAAGGCCCTAGGCATCCTATTTAACATGTTGGGTATGACATGTTCCCCAGGGTCAGCTTTTTATTTCATTGCCATTTTAAGGGTATCAGAATATGTGCTAAGAATTTACATTTGAATAATAGATTTCTGGATGGTAAAATCCTATTATTTACATTTAGTAAAGTCCCTTTGGATATTAAGAACCAGCACAATATTAATTTTTCTTGCTGTCACTTAACAATATAAATTGGTTTTGTGTAAGAACCAGGAGCTCATTGGATTGAATTTAGGAAACTGGTAAAACAAATTTGACTTCAGCGGGTTTGAATGATTACAATGTAATAAACATATAAAGGCTAGGAAGCTAATTTATCATTGCGTTTTGTTTTATTTATTTGAAACTCCTTCATCTTTGGTATAAACAGGCTTTATTAAAGATTATGAATTCAATTTCCAAATGAGTTGTAAATGGCTTTCTATAGAGAGATTACTTGATTTGTTGTTTTCCTGAATAAAACATGTTTTTGCCCAGTGGGGTTATGTAGCCTATATATTAACATCGGAGGATTATTCTGTTGTGCTTGGCATCTATGATGTGCAACGTTTGATTTGTTCTCTGATCTATTTGTCTTCACTCTCTTTAATAAACACTGAGACAGAATGCATAACCTCTTAAGACCTGCACTTCAATGAATCATAAAAGAATGTCTGCCTGTGTAGCAGTTTATCATTGGAATAATAATTCTTGTTCCCTTTAAAAATGTTACAGTGTCTGCTCTTCAAAATAGACTGCAGAGAAAAGCATGAGAGATGCTGTGGGTCACTGATGGGGAATCATAATTGACCTCAGCTTTTGTCGCATGGTAACAGGCTTTCAGGGTATTAGATCATCACATACCACAGAACTACAAATATACTGCCCTCAAAGTCAGGGGGGAAATTTTCCATTTTCAATTTATAAAACTACACAGCACAGACCTGTGTAAAAGGAGGCAGCTTGTTGGTTGGGCTGGAACCTCCAGGAAGATAGCCCTTCAGGAGCCTGCCATATTGTAAAAACCTGTTCAACTTCAACCCTTTTGCAAAAGGATTGTGTAACTTTCACAGCCCAGTGCTTACTGGAATAAATGCACACTGCACAAGTGAAATCACTGAAAAAGGGATCAATGCCTAGGTGAAGTATCTCAGAATGCTGGGGCTGGGAAGAACCTTGGGAGGCCATTTATTTTAACTCCCTCAAGGCTAGTTGGCATATTTTAATGTATTAAAACTAATGTCTAAAGAGCTAGAAAAGCTGTCTGAAGAATTAATATCTCTCCTCAGGAAACTCCGTTTGTTGTTGTTACTGTTTCTTTTATTTTACTGCATCATAAAACTCCAGAATGAAGGATGCAAAGTTTTAGTGGAGAGGAAGTCATTAGCCAACATCATTATTGGAAGAAATGATTTTGTACTGTTAATGACAGTATTATGTTTACTCCATAATTCAATAACTGTGAAGCAGTCTCCAATGAAGAGATTCAGATATCTCTGTTCAAACTAAACTGCGCCACAGGCCAAACTGACCAAATGTATTGTTTTTAAGCTTTTAAGTTGACTCAATAATTCCAAAGTCTAGCAAGGAAATACAAATAGTTAAACGATTCACTCATAAGTGTGTAGCAATCTCAGGAATGAGTTGGTCTAGACTAGTACAATTAAAGTAAATCAAACTCCAATCTTAAGGGAACCTGCCCCTTGACGTAGAGGACAAAGAAAAGACTGGAGGGCTGCCAGGCCTACTTTCACGTCCTCACTTCAAACCCTAAACTGTGTCTCCTCTTCTTAAACTCCTAGAATATCTCAGTTTGTCATTTTCTACCTCCCAGTGGAAAATAATTCTCTTTTCCAAGATGCTTCAGACAATCCTAAATCTCAGTCACTTGTGATCACATCCACAATAAGGTATTATACGCACCCAAACCTGGCTTTACTTCTGACTGGGCTGAATGTTCTGGTTGTCTTCCTTGTCTTTCTATCTTCCAGGCACCCATCATGGTACCTGGCATATAGTAGGTATTCAACTTTTCTTATTGCTGATTGTTTGTTAACACAATTTTAGTGGGATCTGTAAATTCCATATGAACCCATGACTTTAGTTTGCCTCTCAGCAGTAAACCTGCTTTCTCAACTCCAATCTCTATTTTCTGTCTGACAAGAATTACTTCTGTCTGCAGCCCATTATATTCTAGAAACCACAGATTTTTTATTTGTATTTATTTATTTTTTTTGAGACAAAGTCTCACTCTGTCATCCAGGCGGGAGTACAGTGGTGCAATCTCAGCTGACTGCAACCTCCGCCTCCTGGGTTCAAGTGATTCTCCTGCTTCAGTCTCCCAAGTAGCTGGGATTACAGGCATGGGCCACCATGCCTGGCTAATTTTTTGTATTTTCATTAGAGACAGGGTTTCACCATGTTGGCCACACTGGTCTCGAACTCCTGACCTCAGGTGATCCGCCCGCCTCAGCCTCCCAAAGTGGCGGAATTACAGACGTGAGCCACCGCGCCTGGCCTAGAAACCACAGGTTTAAATCTTGCCTTCAGAAAGGTTGTTAGTCATAAAAGTTTTAGACATCAAAAAGAACTACTTGGAATTTCTGTATCACACATGTTGCCTTGAATTGTATTCTAGCTACTTTATGGATTTTTGTATCTCCAGTTAGAAAGGATATTTATTTATTTATTTGAGACAGAGTCTTACTCTGTCGCCCAGGCCGGAGTGCAGTGGCGCGATCTCGGCTCACTGCAACCTCCTCCTCCAGGGTTCAAGTGATTCTCGCGTCTCAGCCTCCCAAGTAGCTGGGAAGCGGCAGATGAAAGGTTGAGACAGGCAGGGTCTGAACAAAAAAAGCATGGACCCTCAGCCAGCAGGATGCAATTATAACTGCACACCACCACATCCGGCTAATTTTTATATTTTTAGCAGAGACAGGGTTTCACCATATTGGGCAGGCTGGTTTTGAATTCCTGACCTCAAGTGATCCACCTGCCTCAGCCTCCCAAAGTGCTGGGATTACAGGTGTTAGCCACTGCGCCTGGCCTCTGTTTCCTTCTTTGTTCTCCTAGTGCCTAGTCCAGTGTTGGGCACTAGCAGGTACTGAAGAACCTATGTGATTAATGAATGAGTGAATGAAAACAAGTACTCCCAAGCAGAAAAGCACACTGTTTTGAGTCTGGGATTCAGGCAGAAATGAGTTAGAAATCTGAGACTACTAGCTGTGTGACTTTGGGCAAATTATGTAAATCCTTTATGTCTTAGTTACTCCATCTGTAAACTTGAGTGGTTGCAGAACTGACCCTATAAGTCACATGGGGATTCAATGTGACACTAAATGTAAAATGCTTAGCACAGTTCCTACAACATAGTGGATATAGTGTTTGAAAAAGTTAGTTACTCTTAGCATAATGAGAAGTGATTAAAAACGCACATAGCCTGGGCATGGTGGCTCATGCCTTTAATCCCAGCATTTTAGGAGGCAGAGGCAGATCGCTTGAACCCAGAAGTTTGAGATCAGCCTGTACAACATGGCAAAACATCATCTCTACTAAAAATACAAAAAATTAGCCAGATGTGGTATTGCACTCCTGTAGTCCCAGCTACTCAGGAGGCTGAGGTGGGAGAATCATCTGAGCCCAGGAGGTCAAGGATACAGTGAACCAAGATCTAAGATTATGCCATTGCACTCTAGCCTGGGCAACTGAAGTGAGACCCTGTCTCAAGAAACAACAACAACAACAACAACAAAATAATAAAAACACACATGAAGATGTGATAAAGGTGGAATATAGAGGTTACTGCAATTGCTATGGCTGGGTTAGAGAATCAGCAGAATTTTAAAGAGGGTAGTAATGGGAGTCAGTCATGGATATGATACAGGAGACAGATTGGAGCCAGGGAAATGGGTTCTAGATCTGACTCTTTCTCCAACTATGCAGGATCTTGGGCAAATC